CATTTCTGCTAGAGCACAGCCGATGGAGAAACCATGCGTTGCACAAGGGACTACTTACGTAGCGTGCGATTACGATGGCGTCGTCAGGGGTTAGCGACATGAGACGAAGTAGACAGTGTGCGTTATATGGAGAGGGGAGGTTTTGTAGGCAATGAGACATCCGTACAGCGGGGAGAGTTGAAACGTATTGCAATCGTTAGACAGCATATTTTATGCAGAGACACCTCGACGGAATGAGCAATCGTCAACGGATGACGGGGCTCCCCGCACGGGGGAATAATACATTGCAGTATGCAAATTTGCGTACTGGCCCAATCGATCAGCGGTCTCTCCCCTGACGATATTTCGACGAAAGGTACTGCCATGGCTATGGATGAGAGGTTCGCTGTCGTACGTGGGATTGAATCACTAATGATCAAAGAATACTGTAGAAATGTTCCTGACTATATGGGTGAGGCAATGATCTTGGCAATAGTGTTCAAGTATGCTGAACGCAACGAACAGTCCTGCTTCCTCATTACTGCAAGTTTCGTCTTTTAAGAACCCACTCCAATCCGCAGAGCAATGTATGTTTTAACTGCCTGGTTGGGCTCAATTTGGTTCAAATCCGATTCATATTTTCTCACGTAGTGGAAGCGTTAATTTTTAACCAGGGCAGAGAATATAATCAGAGCAAAATTTCTCAGTTCTCAAATAATTAACAAATTAATACAGAACTCTTGGGAAGAAATGGCTTTGAACTTGCAAAAATTTGATAAAGCTAGAGGAAATAGCGCTTACATAAGCAGCGTTACCCAGTGCTCGAATAAGCAAGCTTTGGATTTGCTTATGTCAGTAGATACAATTAGAGCAGATTTTCAGATATTGCTATATTACAGTAGATCTCGTACCCATTTAGAATAGAAATTGATATTTTTCTTATGAATTTACCATAAAAGTCCAGCCTTGCTTATCCTTGATGCTGAGCCACGAATTTCACAACTGCCCAACACGAAGAAAAAAAACCAGCTCTCAAGCACTGCATCATAACCAGACGTCAATGTTGACTGCAACCTCAAGCATGTTTCTTCGCAACGCACACAGCTTCATCTTGCCTCGTCGAGCATAACCTCCCCAGTCAAGCAAACTCCATCGCATTTCCTGACTTAATGGATGGTTGGTTGGGGAAATGGAAGGTTGTCGTGCAACAACGGCAAGCGACACGCTTCTCGCTCTTCAATCGAGCCAGTCTTTCATCCAATTTCCCGCAATGCTCTTGTTGCCGGCAACGCTTCAACTACGTTAAAGTCAATCGCAACGTTGATGTTACTGCGAAATGACTGTGCTTTGTCAATGTCAGGACTCTTGCTATGTCTTCCAGCAATTACGGAAAAAATAGGAATGCAAATAATCACCTCAATAGATCCATATAAATCCATCCAATTTTGATGAGAATCTCAAATTTCCAAATTTATTATAAAAAAGCACTCCAGCACCGGCAATTTCGCTTCCTGCTATGGGATAAATACTATGATTCTCATATCTTTGTATAAAAACTAGGAAATTGAGCTTTAGATTCTCCCTAGATTGAAATGTAAGGCTCCATCAGTCTTGCTTGCTCTAATATTTGTGATGGAGAAAAAGTCTACGTGCAGTATTCTCTAAACCCCTCATACAACTATACTCTGAATTTGTTTTGTGCGATAATACAATCTCCCATCCTGTGCGGAAGGGGAACGAGGACCGACCCCTTTAAATATGAAATGCAACGCGTGCACAGGACCACTAATTTCATAAAAAGTTCCTAAGCTCTGCTCATCAAGATATACTCCTAAGAAGTGCAGAGCCTAAATATTTTCGATTTCAGCACTTACACCCCTCCTTTACGATTCTATTGTATCTCAAGAGAAATCTTAAAACCCTAAAAAAACTCTCCAAAACTACCCATCGCGTGCTTTCCTCATCGTACAACAGCGCCACCTGAAACACTACAATGTCTATACCTTCATCCTGCTCACCAGAACAAAAGTGCATCACACAGCATTGTGTGATAACGCAACGCTCAGTCGTACACACCCAATCACAAAGACAGAAAAACTGTTTTAAACCTCACGAGGGCTTCGCGAATAATTACAAAGAGAAAGTTTCTCTAAGCTTATTGTTCACAGCAAAAAAAAAAAACCATCTTTTTCTATTCGTAATAAACGATGCTTCTGACCAAAAAAAGGCTGCAGAATTGTTCGATTTATTGAATGTGCCAGCTCCTAAAGCAGTATTATCTTATATAGGAATCATGAATAGATAATTTGTAATTACCCCAGAGATTCTTAGTTTAAGATAAAAGTAGTACTGATAACTAACTAGCTCAATACAATTTACTACGCATTTGGAATCGATTTTTGTCACTTCTCAACAAGCAAAGCAGCATTCACAAAGGCTTTCTCGGAAGTAACTTGGAAAGCACCTAGCACTACAGTGACATTTGCTTTGAAAATCAGATGTGTTTAAGATTTACTAACAATATGAAGGAATAAATAAAAAATCATCCGTGTCGATCGAAAATAGTTCCGCCCAATGCTCAAATGAAAGCCTTGTTCTATTGGTTCTGTAACATATACCATATATAGCCAAGTTACGGAAGAAATCTGTTAAACGGATACTCTCAAAACTTTGTTGCCTATGTTCAAAATATATCGTTACACCACACTGTTTTACCACAACAGATCCACGAAAGACATACACAATCAAATATCTTTTCCACAATAGCTAGGAGGAGATTCGGTGAACAGAAAGAAGGAAAGGTTGTGAATGGCAGTCTTTAAGACGATAAACAATCGCAGACCACAAGGTTTTCCATCGCTTCACCCTTATAACTTCGAATAAGACATCAATGAAAAAACCCAGTAGTTATCAATGCTTTAATGCCCTCATTTACTTCTATTTCCTTGTTATTAAAATTCCTCTCAGTGATAGTCCCCACGTAAATCTGGAACCT